ATGCCACCAACTGTCTGTGTGAACTGCCGTCTGTCATCCAAAAGCCTTTCCCACTTCAGCACATGCCCACATCCCAGTTCCCTGCACACCACTTCAGCCGTGGCAGCAGCAGCAGATGAATCGGCTTCAGTATCGACTTCCTTCTGACAAACAGGTTCCCACTTGCCTTTGAGAGTGACATCCAGATATCCTAGACAGCTCTCTCCACGTTCCTGCTCCCAGAGCCGAACCGGAAGCTCTTCTAATGGAGCACAAGGGAAGAAAATATACATACACACTTTACTTGTATCACAAATCAGATGCCAATTGTTTCTTCTAGACATCAATGAAATTAAAATTCTCAGATTTGGTACTGTATATATGCTGTATATAATTTCATTTAATTAATGAAAGGACACACATAAACACTACAATAAAAGGGAATGCATTGCTCTTCTGTACCTGGGATGGCTTGCTCACTTTTGGACAGAGATGAATGTAAGACTTTTCCATTGTACAACATCTCCATACTGCAGGCAAACTCTATTGGGACAACGGCATTCGTCTGTCTTAAAACGATACTAGTGTGATTTGTGAGAAACAGTGAACCAGCGAAGGTCCAGTTGGTGCCAGGGCTGACAGGGAGGATGCGGTAATACAGACTCAATGTGAAGTTTGTGGCTAGGTTATAGGCTGATTCACACTGTACAGTGTAATTTTCACCCTTACGAAAAAGATAGGGGTACACAGTCACTTTGGGATCAGAGAGGGCAGCTGGGAAAAAGAGAGAAAGAAACAGAGTGACATTTCAGTAGAAAATGTCTAATACATAATACATTAAGTCATATGCTTAATAAAACTTACATACGACTAAGGTAATAGGGCTGCTTAATTCAGAATATGGATTCTTTGAGTCAGTTCGAGTGGATTTGTACCAGCACACAATTTTTCCTTCATACTTGGCCGTCGCAGGGATTGTGAAATATATTGTATCTGATCGACTGATGACCTCAGATGTCACCCAGGCTTCTGTGGTTTCTGGGGTCTGCGAGGGGCTTTCCAACTTGCCCACAGACACAGTTATGGGATACGGAGCACTCCAAGTGGTGCCACAAGCAACCTCTACTATAGAGTTTAGCTCAATATTACTTTCATTTATTCTGAATCGATAGCCGAATGTAGGGGCTGGAGCATATGCTGGAGGTGAGAGACAGAATAAGATGGAACAGAAAAAGAAAAGGGAGGACAACACTTATTATCAACAGCAACACTGGATCAGCATTTCTGCAGCAGCTTTTCATTTAGTTTACTATGTGCTTGTTCATTTCGAATCGATTATTATAGTCAGCAAATCCTATAAACAACACTAAATAAAAGCAAATCATAACAGGCAATTTGCAGTCACACTGTATCAAACATGAATTCTTGAGTAAAACTTTTTGGCTTAAAACAAATGTATTTTGTATTATGCTTTAAATAAATGTATATTTTTAATAAGCAAGGACACATTAAATTGGTCAAAAGTGACAGTAAACACATTTATAATGTTCTAAAATATTTATATTTCAAATAAGTTCTGTTCTTTCTATTCAGCAAAGAATATGCATCATGGTTTCCAAATACAAAGCAGTGCAACATTGATAATAATATGAAATGTGTCATGAGCGCTAAATCAGCATATTAGAATGATTTCTGAAGGATCATATGTGACACTGAAGACTGGAGTATTGGTTGCTGAATTAAAAAATCTGCTTTGCCATCACAGGAATAAATTACATTTTAAAATATATTAAAATACAAAACAGTTATTATAAAAAATAATAATACAGACTTCTTTCAAAAACATAAAAAAAACATGTTACATGTTACTGCAGGCATGATGAGCTGATTATTATTATTGCACATCCGATTTAATGACTATTCATGTTTTTACAGACACAGTATATATACTTTTTTTAAAGAATCCCAACAAGCTTTATTAACCTTTAGTTAATGTATTTTTATGAACAGGACAGGTTAGTGAGAATACTTCTACAAGCAACATGACAGATAAATGTAATATGACCCTGAAAAAAAAACTGCACTTCCTTCTTCATACTACTGACCTGGACATACAGTATGTGTGTATCAGCTTATGTACAGGAGTAGGTGAATGATTCTTACCCTGAGATGCTGTGTTTCTCACACACATTATCCAGCACACCACAGCTAGCGCTATGAAGAAAGAGTGATTGCAATATACTGTGAAAAACAGGATTTTCCCAAATTAAAGTACATGAAATATGCATGTTGCAATGTGCAACATGTAAGACATTAAACTCAGATATATACTAAAAATATATGTTTATATTTTACAGTTTTAAGGCCTGCTGTTTGCAAATACATTTTAACTTTACAAACATGTATTATTGTGAATTAAATTAACTCAAGATTGGGAAAAGTAATGTTTTCTACATTTCTACACTGGCCAGACCGACCTGTCTAAATCTGATCAGTCCTGCTTACTCTATGTTCTATGTTTAGAAACAATAATAGTGATATAAATACTTTTTTTCTCTCTCACTGTGAAGAACTAGGTACCCTGATTCACACCTTCTAATGTATACCGTTAGTTGCAATTTACTGTAAATATAATTAACTGAAGAAAGTTAATTGGAATTCAGAGTAGCCAGTTATACTCCAATAAGTTTAAAAACATCAGGTAAATTAAATAAACCCTTACCTCCTATGTTGGGAAGAATCATCCTGACACCAGCAAATGAAACTGCAGCACTACAAGAATGAAAACTACTTAAATTCACAACAGAGCAGAGCTGAACTTTCCAACTGGTGAAACACTGCATTACCTAACAGGAAGTTCATTGACCACAAAAAAAGGATGTAACATTTTGTCTTTTAGTCCACTATATTGTGTGCACACAATTCAATGAATTTTGAGATAAAGTTTTATTTATCTTAAGTTTTAGTATGTACATTTATTAATTCTTATTTTGTTTTGTATTAGGCTGATAAAAGCTTAAATTAAGCTCCTCAATATTTTTATTTGCACACTTCATATATTTTTTTTCTAGTACAATTAACTTGTTTTTCTAATTGGCCTTAATTTATTTTGACACACCTCTGTCCATACATTAGAAATCTTAAAGAAATATCTAACAATTTTTCTTTTAAATTTATTAGGTGTGAATTCCTTAATTCTAAAGTGTTATGTTGTCTTTTATGGCCACTCAGTTAATTTCAGATCTAGTCGTTATGTTTTGTTATATTGGGTGCACAGAATTGATCTCTCCTTGCTGATATACATCTTATCACTACAAAAGTGATGCTAGAGCATGTCCTTTAGTAGCCATGGCTCATGATCCCAAACTTAGCCAGAGACCTCTGCTTGACCTGAGTGACACGGCTAGATCTCTAATCCTGCATGGTTTTACTGCTGCTCTCCACATGGTTGTGTTGCATAACTGTGAGAGAGCAGATTACTGACTGTTCAGCCTCACGTCTGTCCCTGCAGTGCTGTCAGAGATGATACACAGGTGGGAGAGAGGGTAAGAGAAAGCCAATAAGATCTTTGTGTACTACGGCATACATAGTTTATTAAATCATATGTACAGTATGTTACAATGGATCATACATATTTACAAACATAATACATTGTCATTATTATTTGTATGTCTTCCTTCTTTAACACACCTGATTCAGATAGATCAGCTCATTAGGAGAGAATCCATCAACTGAACTGAGTGTGTTAGACAAGAGAGACATACAAATGATCTCCTCAGGAACAGAGTTGAGAACCACTGCCTCTACAAGAATGTACCTTATAGCTTTTGTACTTACCCCAGTGAAAGCATTGTACTTTTTCTGAGAGTACAGTTGCTGCAAAAAATGTTTTTTAGCAGGTGAACAGGGTATATGTTGTCACCTGACCAAACCGCAAAACAGGTCTCATCGCATCCGCTTGTCAAGAAAGTATTAATAGCAGTATGAACGGATAGTGATATCTATGGACTTTTAAGGTAGCCAAGCTATTTGTTTTTATTGCTGGAATTTATTCAGTTTTAATATCCAAATGTTAGTGAGAAGAAGAAAAATATAATTTTTTAGATAGCAATCTGCGTTTGTGATTGATATTGGTTATGGTTGGTGTCTGCTTTGAAGGCACCTTGAGTAAAAAAAAGCTCCATATTTAATGAAGCACATACAAAAAATCTGACCTGGAAATGATGCAACCTGTTTTACAGAATACAGAAGTTTGTTGCACATAACCCTAATTGCTGTGGGATACAGTAGTTTTGTTTTGCAAGTAAACTGTGGTTAATGTAATAGTTTTGCAAATAAACTTGTGCTTTTTTCAGTGACTATAAGTAATCAATTAGTTAAATATGAACTGTAATAATTTTGGTTAAGCACAATTAAGTTCTGATGATGCCTGTGATTATTTACATGCAGCATTCATTCAGGAATTATTCTACATGTAAGACATCCAATCAGAGACCTTAAAGCCTATAAGACTGACTGAAATGGTCATAGATAAATTGCCCCGATAGGAAGTTGGAAGTGATTTTCATGAGAAAGGAATGCACCACTGAGGTTTCAAAATGCGCTTCCTCTTTTCAGGGCCCATGCGTTCTTCACTGCATTGCTTCACCGATTCTGTCATCAAACATTTCCCCACACACAATTACACTGAAGGCATCTACAAACTTATTGAGGGTTCAGAAAGCCCATCTTAGTCATCACGATTTTTCCTTTTTCCTTTATCCTTGTCTATGCTTTTCTTCTCCTTTTCCTTCTCTTCCTTTTCCTTCAACACTTTCTTCTCTTTCTTCTTCTCATCCTTGGCCTCCTTATATTTCCACTTTGGAGGCTCCAGGTAACCTTTCTGCTTTTTATTCTTCTTCCTCTTTTTTGGGGTGGACTCTTTAGTCACTTTAATCTGTGGGATACAGCCAGAGGGGAAGACGCTATTGCGCCTTGACGCCACACTACGAGGAATGAATGTGCGCATTCCAGACTGAGCAATGGACAGCACACTGCCTCGTCTCTCTGTATTGGCACAGCAGGACAAAGAGACGGACTCAGCCGAGCGGACAGAAGGAGAAATGGAGGAGATGGAGCTGTTACGATGGCACAGTGAACTCTCCTCCAGCTGCTTCTGTGAGTGCTTCTGCATCAGCTCAGCCACAGCAAGCCGACGTTTACCCATCTGCAGCTCGATGGCCTGGGAAATGAGAAGATGAAGCTGGAAGGAGAGCTGAGGAACATGCAGGGCCTGGTTGAGGACTTCAAGAACAAGTGAGTTGTAATTTTGAAATTGAATGAACTGATGGGGGAAAAAAACACTGAAAACAGAATAGATTCTCACATTTCCTTTCTCTTAACAGGTACAAAGATGAGATCATCAAGCGTGCTTCAGTAGAGAATGAGTTTGTTCTGCTCAAGAAGGTGAAGACCATTTATCTTTTTCTTTAAAAGACTTACCTTTTTCACTCCATTAAGGTTTTTTGTAACAGCAATAGGGTATAATGTCCTTTCATTTTCTTTTAGGATGTTGATGCAGCCTACATGAACAAGGTTGAGCTTGAGGCCAAGGTTGATGCTCTTCAGGATGAGATCAACTTCCTCAGGGCAGTCTATGAGACTGTAAGTTCAATTCTGTTGTGTTTGGCCAACCAAAATTTGTTAGTAGTGCTGCTTTGTAAGGGTAGGTAATTTACTGATTGTTTGGTCTGCATTTGCAGGAACTGCGTGAGCTCCAGTCTCAGATCAAGGACACATCAGTTATTGTGGAGATGGACAACAGCAGAAACCTGGACATGGACTCCATTGTGGCTGAAGTTCGTGCTCAGTATGAGGACATCGCCAACCGCAGTCGTGCCGAAGCAGAGAGCTGGTACAAACAGAAGGTCGGTCAAGCTCTCATAGCTTCAACTCTTGAAGATCACCTCATCTGTGGCCACGCAAGTGCTCATTTGTGTCAATATTTATGTTACAGTTTGAGGAGATGCAGTCCTCTGCTGGTCAGTACGGGGAGGACCTCCGCTCAACCAAGTCTGAGATCGCAGAACTCACCCGCATGATCGCCCGCCTGCAGAACGAGATTGATGCCGTCAAGGGACAGGTAATGATGAGCAAGGGTTGATACATAAATGGTTCACATACTGTTTATGTAAAGAGGCTGACTTTATGTATGTTATTGTCACTTTAGCGTGCCAACTTGGAGGCTCAAATCGCTGAGGCTGAGGAGCGTGGAGAGCTGGCAGTGAAGGACGCCAAGCTCCGTATCAAGGATCTCGAAGAGGCCCTCCAGAGGGCGAAGCAAGACATGGCCCGCCAGGTGCGTGAGTACCAGGAGCTCATGAACGTCAAACTGGCCCTGGACATTGAGATCGCCACCTACAGAAAGCTGCTGGAAGGAGAGGAGAGCAGGTAGGAAGTTTTTAAAGAATATTGCGTTGATATTTACACTCTCAAATCTTTTCGACAAACCTTAAGGTTTGAAAAAACATCACTAAGCAAATCTGTTGTCTTCTTTACTCAGACTGTCCAGCGGTGGAGCTTCAGCCACCATTCATGTGCAGCAGACCTCTGGAGGTCTCTCATCTGGTAAATAACTCTCTCTGTTTCTCTGAATCTCTCATCTTTCTTAGAATCTCATTCTCCAGGTTGGATACGTGTCTAAAACTTTCTTTCTCCTGCAGGTTTCTCTGGTAGCGGCGCTGGATTTGGCTATGGCGGTGGCTACGGTGGTGCTTCAGGATATGGTGGTGGATCAGGATATGGTGGTAGCTCCATCAGCAAAACCAGCGTCACCAGTGTCAGCAGTAAACGCTATTAAGGAGAAGCGCCCCCAACCCAACCCGGCATCCTATCTTCCTTACCTGCAACTAGATCACTCTGAACCTTCTTACAACTCAAATAATCTATGGTGCTATATTCTAGCCAGACAGATATCCCCTGTTAATGAGGAGATGAGGACAATGATTTCTTAAGCATAAAATAAGTTTTAGGTTGTTCTGTGCGTTGATGGTAGTTACCCACAACATACACCTCTTGTCTGGTGGTGTCACTACCATTTTAAATCATCAGTTCAACTACACTAAAATGACACCAGAAAGAATGTAATGGAGAATGTGCTCCCAGTCACTGAATTTGTTTATTTCTGCACTGATATATATGGGGAAAGTGAGACTTGAATGAAATATATACACATGGAAACCACTGAAGCCAATTAGACCTGTAACAACAATAGGATTTCAGTCTCCACAAGCAGTACCATGGTTTCACTGGATCAGGGATGTGCTATACAGGTCCTGAAAGTCCTGGTTGAATGTTTTGTGTCGTTACAAGCTCCCTGCTGTATTTTTGTTGACGAATATGACTTTTGTCATTATGCAATGGCTGTCAGTGTTAGTTTACCTATTTGCTGTAAAAAGTACAATACTGTCAGCCTGTAACTGATGACAATGACTTGTGGGCTTCCAATGTCCAGTTACCTCATATTCAAGGGAGATCTGTTACAGCAAAAAAACAGGCACAATGGCATTTCCATGGACCATCCCTCCTAAACTTTGTGTACTTGCCCAGTTGAAAGAGAAGAGCTTCATTTACTGTGTTGTGACTGTACTACCTTAGACTTTCCCCTTTATTCAAACTGCTTCCAAAGCGTATTTCACAGTCCCTTTTATAAATGGCAAAAAAAAGCTACAAAAATGAAACCATGTTCAACCAGATTTATTTTGTATTGATTGACTTGACACCAACTTAATATCTGAATACAATAAATCTGAGACTACAAGTTTTGTCTTGATTTGTCTTTGTTGCTTGAAATGTTGAAATGTTTTCACCAATTATGGGCAATTTTATTATCAAAGAACTACATCTGGATAAAAAATTAGACAATGGAACCACAAGAGAAACTAAAGACAGAATTAAAAAAAAAAATTGGATTAAAACAGATAAATGTAATATAATAATTACAATAAAGTTGATCCACTTTATGAAGAACTCCCTTATTCTTAATTATCTTATAACACTACAGTAGGTTAGTTAATTTTCATCATACAATTTTAGTTGCATTACCTTTGATATCTAAATATTCTCTTCTCATGAACATTTTCAGTACAACCGCATTGCAAAATTAATTTACCTTTTGGCCTTTTTCAATATTTATCAAACATTATATTTAATGTGGAAGGTTGTCGGAAGAATTTAAACAGATTCAATTTCTTTGGCTTGCAGTTGTTGAGGTGGGTAGCTGGCATTGTTATCTGGATTTTCAGCATTGGTCTGTGGAAATTCATTGGGCTGTACCTCTTGTGCCGCGGTTCTGTATTTACAAATATACACCAGAATTGCTAACCCAAGAGCAGTTGTGAGAACACCTGCAACAATTGGCACTGGATTGTATACTGCAAAATACAAACACAAATGGACATCAGTTAAGTTTTAAAAAAAAAAGAAAATATTTAGGGGCACAGTCAAAGTTCAGTTTTTAACCAGTTTTAAGGACCTTGATCTTTGCAATATGGCGGACATGAGTATTGTGTCAATAAGAAAACATTGCTAATGCGGCTTCAACATATCTTGGTTTGCCAAGACGAAGCAAATAGTATTTCAGCTTGTCCTTTGATCTTAACATGTCAGTTCTTAAGAGGTGACCTGCTCAATTTAAAATAAACACATTTAATTTGGCTACTAATATGACAGTGGTCTATTCTTTCTTTAGGGGTAATTTTTTAATGATGTAAAAATTATGTCATTAAAAGTGCAAAATGCCCTAACGTGTGTCTAAAGTAGTAGCTCAGCACTGCCCCCTGACGTTTGTTCGTTAAAATTCTGCATTAAACAATAGATAAGAGGTAAAGAGTACTATGACTTAATGCAAAAATGTGCTGTAACAGAGTCATTTATCTTAGTTATTATGCATCAAAAATTTAGTTGTTTATAGGAACTCACTGTAAATGAAGACTGAATTGCTGGGCTGAGACGTTAGTTTCATTTTTGAAGACGTAAGATGGAATACACATTCATACTCTCCTTGAGGCACTGGGGCATACTGTGTGATAGACTCTGGGAAGCCTGGTGTGCTGTAACTTTGACTCAAATAAGCACCATCCCTTCTAAACTCTAAGTACCCCTAAACAGGAAGGAAAGACTGTATAAAAGACGCCTGCTGTATATGTACCAAAAACATTATTTGAAATGTAATTACAAAACAATTCAGTGTAACAGAAAAAGTGTGAATGGGGTGATTTACATAGTCTTTTGATTTTAAATAAGCGGAGTCGATGGAGCAGGAGATTTTCACATTTTCTTTGTCCCTGACATACAGTTTGGGGTTAGGACCATACGTATCCACATACAGTTTAGGACGGGGCAATGCATCTGGCAAAGTGGAGAGTGAAAGGAAGACATTTATTAGAAAGGTAAAAAGCATGAGGGAATTAGTCAGGTCCCATGAAATAAAACACATTTTAAAACTCTCTCTTCAAATAGGATGGAATGTTGAGGATTAATTTTGCACTACACTGATTTTAGTCATTTTCCCCCCTAATAGTACCGGGAGCTGACTACCAAGTAAACAAATCATGGTTAATTAAAACGCATTAGGTAATTTCATGGGGCCTTTAAAACATTTTCTGGTAATATGTCATTGCAATAATTTTGTACAATTAACCTCAAACTGTCTCACCTGAGCAAATAATATAGAGCATGCCTCTCTGTCTGCAAGCTTCAATTTCCTCCATTGGACAATCTTTGATCTTTTTTTCTTTCCCAATGCATCTGATGCCACCAACTGTCTGTGTGAACTGCCGTCTGTCATCCAAAAGCCTTTCCCACTTCAGCACATGCCCACATCCCAGTTCCCTGCACACCACTTCAGCCGTGGCAGCAGCAGCAGATGAATCGGCTTCAGTATCGACTTCCTTCTGACAAACAGGTTCCCACTTGCCTTTGAGAGTGACATCCAGATATCCTAGACAGCTCTCTCCACGTTCCTGCTCCCAGAGCCGAACCGGAAGCTCTTCTAATGGAGCACAAGGGAAGAAAATATACATACACACTTTACTTGTATCACAAATCAGATGCCAATTGTTTCTTCTAGACATCAATGAAATTAAAATTCTCAGATTTGGTACTGTATATATGCTGTATATAATTTCATTTAATTAATGAAAGGACACACATAAACACTACAATAAAAGGGAATGCATTGCTCTTCTGTACCTGGGATGGCTTGCTCACTTTTGGACAGAGATGAATGTAAGACTTTTCCATTGTACAACATCTCCATACTGCAGGCAAACTCTATTGGGACAACGGCATTCGTCTGTCTTAAAACGATACTAGTGTGATTTGTGAGAAACAGTGAACCAGCGAAGGTCCAGTTGGTGCCAGGGCTGACAGGGAGGATGCGGTAATACAGACTCAATGTGAAGTTTGTGGCTAGGTTATAGGCTGATTCACACTGTACAGTGTAATTTTCACCCTTACGAAAAAGATAGGGGTACACAGTCACTTTGGGATCAGAGAGGGCAGCTGGGAAAAAGAGAGAAAGAAACAGAGTGACATTTCAGTAGAAAATGTCTAATACATAATACATTAAGTCATATGCTTAATAAAACTTACATACGACTAAGGTAATAGGGCTGCTTAATTCAGAATATGGATTCTTTGAGTCAGTTCGAGTGGATTTGTACCAGCACACAATTTTTCCTTCATACTTGGCCGTCGCAGGGATTGTGAAATATATTGTATCTGATCGACTGATGACCTCAGATGTCACCCAGGCTTCTGTGGTTTCTGGGGTCTGCGAGGGGCTTTCCAACTTGCCCACAGACACAGTTATGGGATACGGAGCACTCCAAGTGGTGCCACAAGCAACCTCTACTATAGAGTTTAGCTCAATATTACTTTCATTTATTCTGAATCGATAGCCGAATGTAGGGGCTGGAGCATATGCTGGAGGTGAGAGACAGAATAAGATGGAACAGAAAAAGAAAAGGGAGGACAACACTTATTATCAACAGCAACACTGGATCAGCATTTCTGCAGCAGCTTTTCATTTAGTTTACTATGTGCTTGTTCATTTCGAATCGATTATTATAGTCAGCAAATCCTATAAACAACACTAAATAAAAGCAAATCATAACAGGCAATTTGCAGTCACACTGTATCAAACATGAATTCTTGAGTAAAACTTTTTGGCTTAAAACAAATGTATTTTGTATTATGCTTTAAATAAATGTATATTTTTAATAAGCAAGGACACATTAAATTGGTCAAAAGTGACAGTAAACACATTTATAATGTTCTAAAATATTTATATTTCAAATAAGTTCTGTTCTTTCTATTCAGCAAAGAATATGCATCATGGTTTCCAAATACAAAGCAGTGCAACATTGATAATAATATGAAATGTGTCATGAGCGCTAAATCAGCATATTAGAATGATTTCTGAAGGATCATATGTGACACTGAAGACTGGAGTATTGGTTGCTGAATTAAAAAATCTGCTTTGCCATCACAGGAATAAATTACATTTTAAAATATATTAAAATACAAAACAGTTATTATAAAAAATAATAATACAGACTTCTTTCAAAAACATAAAAAAAACATGTTACATGTTACTGCAGGCATGATGAGCTGATTATTATTATTGCACATCCGATTTAATGACTATTCATGTTTTTACAGACACAGTATATATACTTTTTTTAAAGAATCCCAACAAGCTTTATTAACCTTTAGTTAATGTATTTTTATGAACAGGACAGGTTAGTGAGAATACTTCTACAAGCAACATGACAGATAAATGTAATATGACCCTGAAAAAAAAACTGCACTTCCTTCTTCATACTACTGACCTGGACATACAGTATGTGTGTATCAGCTTATGTACAGGAGTAGGTGAATGATTCTTACCCTGAGATGCTGTGTTTCTCACACACATTATCCAGCACACCACAGCTAGCGCTATGAAGAAAGAGTGATTGCAATATACTGTGAAAAACAGGATTTTCCCAAATTAAAGTACATGAAATATGCATGTTGCAATGTGCAACATGTAAGACATTAAACTCAGATATATACTAAAAATATATGTTTATATTTTACAGTTTTAAGGCCTGCTGTTTGCAAATACATTTTAACTTTACAAACATGTATTATTGTGAATTAAATTAACTCAAGATTGGGAAAAGTAATGTTTTCTACATTTCTACACTGGCCAGACCGACCTGTCTAAATCTGATCAGTCCTGCTTACTCTATGTTCTATGTTTAGAAACAATAATAGTGATATAAATACTTTTTTTCTCTCTCACTGTGAAGAACTAGGTACCCTGATTCACACCTTCTAATGTATACCGTTAGTTGCAATTTACTGTAAATATAATTAACTGAAGAAAGTTAATTGGAATTCAGAGTAGCCAGTTATACTCCAATAAGTTTAAAAACATCAGGTAAATTAAATAAACCCTTACCTCCTATGTTGGGAAGAATCATCCTGACACCAGCAAATGAAACTGCAGCACTACAAGAATGAAAACTACTTAAATTCACAACAGAGCAGAGCTGAACTTTCCAACTGGTGAAACACTGCATTACCTAACAGGAAGTTCATTGACCACAAAAAAAGGATGTAACATTTTGTCTTTTAGTCCACTATATTGTGTGCACACAATTCAATGAATTTTGAGATAAAGTTTTATTTATCTTAAGTTTTAGTATGTACATTTATTAATTCTTATTTTGTTTTGTATTAGGCTGATAAAAGCTTAAATTAAGCTCCTCAATATTTTTATTTGCACACTTCATATATTTTTTTTCTAGTACAATTAACTTGTTTTTCTAATTGGCCTTAATTTATTTTGACACACCTCTGTCCATACATTAGAAATCTTAAAGAAATATCTAACAATTTTTCTTTTAAATTTATTAGGTGTGAATTCCTTAATTCTAAAGTGTTATGTTGTCTTTTATGGCCACTCAGTTAATTTCAGATCTAGTCGTTATGTTTTGTTATATTGGGTGCACAGAATTGATCTCTCCTTGCTGATATACATCTTATCACTACAAAAGTGATGCTAGAGCATGTCCTTTAGTAGCCATGGCTCATGATCCCAAACTTAGCCAGAGACCTCTGCTTGACCTGAGTGACACGGCTAGATCTCTAATCCTGCATGGTTTTACTGCTGCTCTCCACATGGTTGTGTTGCATAACTGTGAGAGAGCAGATTACTGACTGTTCAGCCTCACGTCTGTCCCTGCAGTGCTGTCAGAGATGATACACAGGTGGGAGAGAGGGTAAGAGAAAGCCAATAAGATCTTTGTGTACTACGGCATACATAGTTTATTAAATCATATGTACAGTATGTTACAATGGATCATACATATTTACAAACATAATACATTGTCATTATTATTTGTATGTCTTCCTTCTTTAACACACCTGATTCAGATAGATCAGCTCATTAGGAGAGAATCCATCAACTGAACTGAGTGTGTTAGACAAGAGAGACATACAAATGATCTCCTCAGGAACAGAGTTGAGAACCACTGCCTCTACAAGAATGTACCTTATAGCTTTTGTACTTACCCCAGTGAAAGCATTGTACTTTTTCTGAGAGTACAGTTGCTGCAAAAAATGTTTTTTAGCAGGTGAACAGGGTATATGTTGTCACCTGACCAAACCGCAAAACAGGTCTCATCGCATCCGCTTGTCAAGAAAGTATTAATAGCAGTATGAACGGATAGTGATATCTATGGACTTTTAAGGTAGCCAAGCTATTTGTTTTTATTGCTGGAATTTATTCAGTTTTAATATCCAAATGTTAGTGAGAAGAAGAAAAATATAATTTTTTAGATAGCAATCTGCGTTTGTGATTGATATTGGTTATGGTTGGTGTCTGCTTTGAAGGCACCTTGAGTAAAAAAAAGCTCCATATTTAATGAAGCACATACAAAAAATCTGACCTGGAAATGATGCAACCTGTTTTACAGAATACAGAAGTTTGTTGCACATAACCCTAATTGCTGTGGGATACAGTAGTTTTGTTTTGCAAGTAAACTGTGGTTAATGTAATAGTTTTGCAAATAAACTTGTGCTTTTTTCAGTGACTATAAGTAATCAATTAGTTAAATATGAACTGTAATAATTTTGGTTAAGCACAATTAAGTTCTGATGATGCCTGTGATTATTTACATGCAGCATTCATTCAGGAATTATTCTACATGTAAGACATCCAATCAGAGACCTTAAAGCCTATAAGACTGACTGAAATGGTCATAGATAAATTGCCCCGATAGGAAGTTGGAAGTGATTTTCATGAGAAAGGAATGCACCACTGAGGTTTCAAAATGCGCTTCCTCTTTTCAGGGCCCATGCGTTCTTCACTGCATTGCTTCACCGATTCTGTCATCAAACATTTCCCCACACACAATTACACTGAAGGCATCTACAAACTTATTGAGGGTTCAGAAAGCCCATCTTAGTCATCACGATTTTTCCTTTTTCCTTTATCCTTGTCTATGCTTTTCTTCTCCTTTTCCTTCTCTTCCTTTTCCTTCAACACTTTCTTCTCTTTCTTCTTCTCATCCTTGGCCTCCTTATATTTCCACTTTGGAGGCTCCAGGTAACCTTTCTGCTTTTTATTCTTCTTCCTCTTTTTTGGGGTGGACTCTTTAGTCACTTTAATCTGTGGGATACAGCCAGAGGGGAAGACGCTATTGCGCCTTGACGCCACACTACGAGGAATGAATGTGCGCATTCCAGACTGAGCAATGGACAGCACACTGCCTCGTCTCTCTGTATTGGCACAGCAGGACAAAGAGACGGACTCAGCCGAGCGGACAGAAGGAGAAATGGAGGAGATGGAGCTGTTACGATGGCACAGTGAACTCTCCTCCAGCTGCTTCTGTGAGTGCTTCTGCATCAGCTCAGCCACAGCAAGCCGACGTTTACCCATCTGTGGAGGGCTGCTTGGGCACAGCGGCCGTGTGGCCGTGGCTATGAACGGGCTGCGTAGGCTGGTGGTCATTCGCACCATGTGATCCATGACACCATTGTCCTGCGGATCACGTGGGAAACTGAAACCAAAAGTACTCTTGAGATGATGAGTCAGCTTCTGGCTGGCACTCTTATTGGCTGTTGCTTTGCTGACCAGCACCTTAAGGTTGGGCCACTCTGGGTCGTAGGTGTCACAGAACTGTTCAGCTGTGGGATGAAGCGCAAGGTGGCGCAGACGATTCAGCGTGTCAAAGCGACCTGTTTTCAGTGCCCAGTCACGTGCACATTTACCACGGTTGGAGTCTACAGCATTTACATCAGCACCTAAAACTATACAGAACAATACAGAGAATTTAATAAATTGTATATCAGAAGGATGCTGGAGGAATATACTTCTAAAAATAAAGAATGCTGTGTAAGAAATCACTTTGTCTGTCTAGTCATGTTGTGCCTTCCACAGATCTTTTGCAGATCTTATGGATGCTACTGAGGCAAACTGATTCAATGCCAGCTACGCCATTCTTGATTGGCTATGTGGGTCATTTGGTGACTTCTTGTCTCTCCCTAGTGATGTGATGAATATAAGCAATGCCAAAATAGTGAAGGACCATTTTCAGCATATCAGCATGTGTGTGTTCAACTACTAACCGTGCATTATAAGAGCTGCCACCACATCATTCCTGCCCTGTATGGCAGCTTTAATGAGGGCAGTGAATCCTCTGTTGTCTCTGATCTCTGTCTCTGCTCCAGGGAAGTAATTCATGATGTAGTTACATATGGAGACATGACCTGTGTACAGAAAGATTTAAAACTTTTTTACTTTGTATTTTTGAACATATACAAAATGAAGTCAAATAGTATTTAACATGAAGTCTTTGTCATTCCTTACTTCTATGTAAATTAGAGTTATTGCATCATATTCACAAAAATCAACACTATTTGCCTGGAACACTATTATTGCCAGCAGAGTTCAGACAGCAGTTCATCTAATTTTCATCAAGACAGTGAACTGACATCACACATGCAACAACTGACCAGCTTGAGCTGCGATCATTAAAGCAGTGTTGCCGTCATTGTCTTGGTGGTTAATATCCAGATGTGGACAGCTGTGCAACTCATAAACAATTGGAAGAAAGCCTTTATATGCAGCCACCATCAGTCCATTCTACAAGAAAGAATCATGGTGTGTTACAAGACCTCTATCAATATAATTCTTAAACAGGTGAAAAGGTAAAGAGATATAGAAAATATATATATGGACACGTTACATCAACAGGTAACTATTTAATAATCAACCAAACAGTAATAACCCTGCAGCACTAATAAAATGATCTAAAACTGTTCTGAGAGTTTTTGTTTTTTCGAGGCATTAATTTCCTCAGGAATTTCCAGTGATGAGTTATGAGTACAATATCTGTTAACATTACTTAAATAGACTTTCTCATGCTAAGTTACAAGTGCATGTAGCCATGCCTCAAACATGAATTTTGAAAGTGTTAACAAGTTGCTACATAAAGACTATGTAGTTCGATTTCTCAAGTAAACACACACCCTTATTGCAGTTGTAGGTCACATTTGGGGTGACAATGTTTGTAAAATAAATAAGAAAGTCTTATCAAGAAATGTTAACCTCAGACATAATTCTACTTATACAGTTAAAAATATTTACATTTCTCTGTAATGTAAAAGTAATTTAAAATGTACTTATTTTTATTGCATGATTTTTCTCTGATTAGTCAGTCTGTCTCATGCTCTCTAATACTAATCTGTCTTACCCTGCCATTAATGTCAACTTCCATGACCTCATCATAGGTCACACCTCGTTCCAACACTCTCTTCAGTGCCTCTGGGTCATTTTGGACGCAAGCCTCATATAGTGTGTTGGCAGTTCCTTTTTTCCTTTCCTCTTGTTCATAATCCGGGAGAACAGAATCATCAGACAGCAAGCTTCCAGAGTCAGACTCTTCATCCAACAATGAGATTTCATCCTCGTCCAGGCCTGACCCCAGATTTGGGTCCTCAAAGGCAGCGCTTTGAACTGCTGCCATGCCTCCAGAGTTCAATCTTGCCTACGCCATCTTTGCTGGCATTTGAGGAAAGTGTTCCAACATTGTTGTAGTGGGTCAGCAACCTGAGATGAAGGAATGCACTCCAAGTGTTTATGGCCCCTGTCTTGAGGTAAACAGTCCAGATAAACCACAAGGCTCTCTAACTAAGTGAAAGAACCTTCAAATAGATAAATAAACAAACAAATAAAGCACTGTCAGTGATGGCAACCATTACCATTCAATTGACTCAAAAGCTTCTGATGCAAGAAAGTAAGGAGTTTTCGTAGCTCCAGATTTAGCCTGGGACAGCTGTGCTTTAATTGTCAGTGCTAAATCTGGCCTGCTCAGGCTTAAAATACACAGATATCTGTAAACAGGCTTATATACGGTACACTCTAAAAACACACGTTACCTCAATTAACTCTACTATTCATACGTGTATATGTTGATACAACAATTTTACGTTGTGAAACATATTCAGTTTAGTTACAAAACTGGTATTTCTATTAATTAATTAAACATTTCTCTGGTTGTGCGTGTCATATAAAAATCTAGCTAAATACAAAACCAAAGTTTACAACAATAAAGCAAAAACATTCTCTTTAGTGCTCTAATGAACAATTGAGAAAACAGCCAGATGCTCTTAAATACTTACCGACAGTCTGGCAATACATTTTAAACTAGATTTAAAATAGAGATTTCAAAAATATGGAGTATAACTCACCTGTGTTCACACTTCAGAAGAAAAGAGGTGTCTTCAGTGAATGCTGCCAATGCCTTAAAAAACGTTCACATGTCATTATCAGAAACCTTAGCTTGCAGAAAATACAACCATCAGCTTGACGTCTTCATCATAGTGTGTGTAGTAGTATGTGATGTGAACACAGAGGGGTGAATACATGCTCCGTAACACCTCAGGTCATTAGACTGACTAATGCCTTTCAGGATCAGAAAAGACCCAAGGCTTTCGGAACATAATCACCTTTCACACACACATACTCAAAATGGTCTCTGTTTCTTTCTCTCCGTCTCATACTGACAAACAAACCCAATCATACTCTCACTTGTTCATTAGAGTGTAAGTATTAAAGATCATGCATTCAATAATGCTGATGAAGTTTAACATACAGTTGGGTGTGTTTCAGGGCTTTGGTTGCTTTATGTCACAGGGACCCTGATTTTAGCTCAGAGGATTATATGGAATGTGAGGAGAAGTGAATTTGTCTTTGATAAGATTTCAAGACAGAATGATGTACTTTGCCGACAAAAATGTCCTTACATGACCAGTTGTCTGTACCAATAATCATACTAATAATCCAATAATCATTATGTAATTAACACCAACGTCAGTAGTACAACAACCTAAAAATATTTTGTGCTTAATAACTGAACATGCAGGCTCAAATCAAGATTTTACGCAAAAAAAAACACACACAAAAAAAGAACCTACAATAAAATCGCAAGCAAATTTGCATTCAGTCTTGCAATTCTGAAGGAACTGATAAAAATATAAAAACTCCTTTATCATCAGGTCTTCACAAAACAACACAAGTACCTAATTTAAGCTCATATTAAGTTAATACTCCTGTATCCCAGCAGCACTTAAGGAAGTGAGTGATCCTTGTTACACACACATGTGACCCAGGACCACAAAACCAGTCATAAGGGTCAATTTTTTAATTGAATTTTTTTTCAATTAAAGCTGAATAAATAAGCTTTCCATTGATGTATTGTTTGTTAGGATAGGACAATATTTGGCTCAGATACAACTATTTGAAAATCTGGAATCTGATGGGGGGAAAAAAATCTAAATATTGAGAAAATCGCCTTTAAAGTTGTCCAAATGAAGTTCTTAGCAATGAATATTACTAATCAAAAATTAAGTTTTGATATATTTACGGTAGGAAATTTACTAAATATCTTCATGGAACATGATCTTTACTTAATAT